TAGGTCGGGCCTTTTGCGTATTTAGAATATGTGACAAGTCTCAAAACCTTGTACAAATGAGAAGAGAGCCTAAGCAAATGACAGCTTGCAGCGCACGTATCAACTCTCGGTGGTGTGTGTGTGTGTGTGTGTGTGTGTGTGTGTGTGTGTGTAGGTAACATGCCGAGAGTTGACAGTGTGTCGCTGGTGAGCGAGTTAGAGAGAGAAATCAGACGTATCACACAGAGAATATTGACCAAAATAACTGTAATTATATTTTTATAATCGAGTCTATAACAGTGTGAAAGTATGAGGTCTTTTGATGAACCCCCAAAAAAAACCCCCCCCCTACTGAGCTTTACAATGTTTCCGCTCATTGTTCAGCTTTCAGACCCAAAACTTAACTGTATTGATTCACTCTCACAGCTCCTGTAGTGTAGTTTTTAGCCACAGCAGTTTTCAGGGAACACAACCTGCTCAAATACTGAACAGAAGACACAGTTAAAGACTAGATGGCACACATAGTGGAGCATTTATGAGATAAAGAGCCAGATATTTCCCTCAGTAGTTGGTAGAGATCAAAACTTCAGGTGAAAGTTAAAATCGAAGTATATGATTGTTTATCCGTCTAAAACTTACTTCATGAGGGCCAACCATGAAATAAACACATATGATTTCCTGTTACAAAACTTACATTTATCATTTACATCAGTAAATGTTGACATTATCTTGTTGTGTAAACATCATGCAAATTCTTAAAGTGGACGTCACTTATTTTGTTAATTGCGTCTTTCTTTTCTAGAGCTGTATTACGACAGAGGAAACCATCATGAGTTTGTTTCCCTTGTGAAAGATCTCGCAAGACCGGGTGAAATAACTCAGTCGCAGACCTTCGACTTTGAGTTTACTCATGTTGAAAAACCTTACGAGTCCTACACAGGCCAGAATGTCAAGCTAAGGTAAGTTTGATCATTCACTCTACGTTAGTGAAATGACTGACTGTCGGTGTCACTCTTTAACCTGTCTGTCATGTGGTTAAATTTAAACAGATGTTGTCTACGTTTACCTGTGGTATATATTTTATGGGTTGGTTGGGATAATGTGGAAACAGTATTGTTTAAAGTCTCTGTTTGTTCCATTTGCAGATATTTTCTTCGTGCCACAGTGATCAGAAGATTAAACGACATCAGTAAAGAGATGGACATCGTGGTCCACACATTGAGCACTTACCCCGAACTCAACTCCTCCATTAAAATGGAAGTTGGAATTGAGGATTGTCTCCACATTGAGTTTGAATACAACAAATCCAAGTAAGACTTGTAGCTAACAAACTGTTTTTTTTCATTATCATTTCATTGTCATTATTCATTCATTCATCATCATCATTCATTATCATACATTATAGTTTCATGTACCCAGTTTGTTAAAGTGAGCACAAATAATAACAAAAAATACACCACTCATACACCAGAATGAGTGCTACGTAGTATAGTCGTTCTAGTCTGAGTCAAGCTTGTAATGCAGAGACAGTTAGGGCTGCAACTGAAAGCTATTTTCATTATTGATTAATTAATCGTTTGGTCTATAAAATGTCAGTACATTGCAAGTTCCCAGAGCCCTGGTGCCTTGTTTTGTCTGAGCAGCAGTCCAAACCTAAAATATATTCAGCTTACCATCACAGAAGACAAAGAAGCTGAAACCAGCAACAGTTAATCAATTAAAAATCCAAATAGTTGGTGATACATTTTTGATTAATCAACCAATAATTTAAACTGTAATAGAGTTATTTCATGATGTCCAGGGGCAGTGTAAAGTATGCAGACACTGGAGAAACAATCTATAATATAACAATATTCTGTTTGTGCTCAGTTACCAAACGACTTGTTATTTCCAGCCCTCGTTCTCTTCATTTGTGTCTTCACTCGTTCTCTGACAGGTACCACCTGAAAGATGTAATTGTAGGAAAGATCTATTTCCTGCTGGTGAGGATTAAGATTAAGCACATGGAGATTGACATCATAAAACGTGAGACAACGGGCACCGGCCCAAGTGTGTACCATGAAAACGACACTATCGCCAAGTACGAGATTATGGACGGTGCTCCGGTCAGGGGTAAACAACACTTCAGTCTTTGATTTTAATCACGAAGCATCTCGTCATTCAGTTGAGATCAACATCATCCAACTGTCACAACGTGTTTCATATTTCAGGAGAGTCCATTCCCATCCGGTTATTTCTGGCTGGTTATGATCTGACTCCCACCATGCGAGACATCAACAAGAAGTTCTCTGTGCGCTACTACTTGAACCTGGTGCTGATCGATGAGGAGGAGAGACGTTACTTCAAACAACAGGTAGGCTAGTGATAATAAAGGATGGTACTCAAAGCCAAAAGTCAGACTGGCCGCTCAGTGTGTTTACATGTATTACAATATCCTTAATATTCTTCACTTCCAGCAGTAATCAGAGTTTAGAAACATCTGTGTAAGTGTAATATGTAGCCCCAGCACTGTAATACAGTTATATTGCTGCTGCAGAAACTTGAGTACTTGGCCAACCGCTGCCTGGGTTTCCTTTGCATGGAATAGACCAGAGAGAAAGAGAAATATTCAGTAGTAAAAAAAACTACTGTATCTGTGTCCCGATTCTATACTACGTACTCATTTTGAGAAAGCTTTGAGTATTGGGCTGTAAAACATTGAAATAGATTTAAGGTTGCAGGGTGCTGGTGTTGTCCAGGCTGGTTTACTTGATGGAACTGAGCCATTGTTAATGTTATTAGTGACAACTGTGCCTTTCCTACTATGACAAACCATACCAGGCAACAATGACTGCTGTGAAAGAGTTTTGTTGTGCTACAGTGTCGTTCGATTGAAAGGACAAAAGATCCCTGAGCTTATTAATACCCTTATTTTTCTCCACTCCTTGTCCTCCAGGAAATCACACTGTGGAGGAAAGGGGACGTGGTGAGGAAGAGCATGTCTCATCAGGCCGCCATCGCCTCTCAGAGGTTCGAGGGCTCTGCTGCTTCAGAGAGCGCGCTGGAGCAGGCCGCGAAGGAGGAGAGCGGGTAGAGCCGCAGCCCCTCCAGTCTCCTCTTTCGGCACTCATCAGCGTCTGCGACGGAGTGTCGGAGGTACCTGTCAACTGTACAACATCTGGTGAAGCAGCTGTTTTTATTTGTAGCCGCTGCTGGGAGGAAGAAGGGAGACCATACATACAGTAATAGAGTATGTGAACAATGAAACAGTTTGCATGAGGCATTCAGAGTGGCTTCAGGCTGCTGGTCTTGTCCTTCCTCATTAATGCATTAATTCTTTTTCTTTATGGGAATCAAACTAATCACCTGTCGCAATGTGTAAATGTTTCATGTGAAATTATTGAATTTGTAAGCCTTCTGTTGGTTACACTCTTAACGCTTTTCTCGGGATAAATTGATTTCTAATCTCTTCATTAACGCAACTGAATTGTCATGAATTTTCAACAACATTCCACCTTAAATGACTGCATTCCTAACACTGTTATGAGGTCAAGAAATCTGAGATACTTTGCACTGCTATATCTGGCTGAACACATTTTTCTCTTTGTGTTTCTGTGTTTGCACAAAAAAAAATAGTGGAAACTGGAATCTTTTTTCCTTTTTGAGTGAGAGGGCTCAAGTATTAACCCACACATTTTTTTTATTATCTGTAAATAAGACCAGCTAAAACCTTTAATCTTGTTCCCTGGTCCTGCTTGTGTACGTTGACTATACAGTAGTACACGGTGCCACAAAATGACCTTTCATGTTCATATGCTTTACCTCAGCATTCCAGTATTGTTAGGAAAGGGTGTTGTGTTAAGGTCTGATAGTATGAAGTCTTCTGTATCCTCTTTATTAGAGACTTGAAAGTTGTGCCTAAGTGTATCAAGCAAATGAAATCCTCCTGCCTCTAACATAATTTTAGTCTTTTAACCAGAGAAATGTTACATTAGAACTATCTATCTTTTGCAAAATGCTAATCAATTCTTCCTTGTCCCCAAAAGTCAAATAAATTGATGCCAAATGGAAAAAAAACCTCAGACTTTGGTTGTATTGTAGAAATGAGTGAAAGTGTTCATGATAATTAAAACACCACATGACAAAGATCTACTAACAATGCTACATACAGTAAATGGGTGAGTTGTGTAACCTTGGAGAGACATTTAACACAACGTAACAGCTTTGAGCAGGTAGTCAGTGATTTTTCAGATTTTTCAAAAGCATATGGATCCTCAGAGTAGCTACTTTTACACAGAGCGTAACATTCAAGAAAAAAGGAATTAAGCTGGGATAAACTGAGGTGTAATTTAAAAACTGCTGGAAAACTTTGAAAGCTGCTGCCTCTTAACACGCTAAATCCCCAAAACAATACAAGTGGATCATACCCAGAAATGTCACACAGCTGTTCTAAATTAAAGTGTCATAAACACCAGACTGTACATAGATCACAGCCCATGTAAACAGGTGATCCAAAATCTTCGATCAGAAAGTGCATGTAACTGCAGCTAGTGATCGGTTCCATAATAATGCATCAAACTTAAGCTGAAACAATTAATTAATACGTCAGTCGCTGCTGTTTCTATAATAAATGATCATTTTAACATACACAGTGCTGAAGGAATTACGAGTTCTGCTTGACATCAACGTTTATCTTCCCCCTCACTTCCTCATCACTGGACAGCAGTGGACCTCATTAGGGAAATTTATGGAGCGCAGAATGTTAAGTAATTTGTATCAGGTGAAATTTGCATTAAATGGGCGTTGGGGATTGTGAAGAATGGTCACTTATGCTGCTATACAAAAATTACATATTGAGTAATGGCGATAAAACAAGCTATACTGAGGGAAAACGGCAGTTCTTGTCAACATTACATACTTGTATATGAGTACTGCTTTAAATACTGCTGCACTTTGGTATCCAGAGCCTGTAGTTTCAGGGCTGAAGTTGTCCAATTAAAGTCGTTCAGAGGTACAGGGTAAAAACTGTGTTTGAGCCATAATTTGAGCAAAACACATTTAATAACATTTATGAACAAGAGAAGAAAAAACAGTAAGCTGCTGCTGCTTCATGATTTCAGTGTCAGAAAGCATCAGTTGGTCCAAATCCTCACAAAGGCTCTTTGTCCTCCAAACTCAGGACAAAGTCAAACTCCTCTGCAGAGAAAAAGCAGAATAACGAGCTATATAATAGAAATAAAAAGACACAGATATTACATAGTATAATAAGTAACATGCTCCTCCTGCTACACTTACCAGTGGTTAGGGGTTGCACAGAGAGTCTGGCTCTTGTGAAAAGCGCCATGTCCTTTAGAGGCCCTCCTGCAGCGCGATGCTGCAGGTGGTACTTTTTCAACTCGGACAGAGGAAGAAAACGCTTCGTCATTCTTTGATACTGAACATCTACCTGAGAGAGAAGAAAACAAGATCAACCTTCGGGCTTCAATATCATGTGTTATTAGAGATGTCCCCATACCTTTGTGTATCAGCCGTTAAAATATACTATATAAATCATTATTTTTTAATATACTACTAAGCCTGCATGATTGATAGCATTGGCATTGGTATTTTAGGCAGTATTCATTTGCTGTTATTCTTAAATTAGCCTACCATGCTCCACTTGGGGTTGTCTGGTTTACTGTTTGCATCAAAATGGACATCCTTCTTATCAAACTGAGTGTGGTCCACATAGGCTTCCTTCACAATCTAAAAAAGGAAACACAGCAGAGAATCAGGCCTGTCTGTAGCTTTGTTGAAATAATTCTAATACTCTCAGCGGGGAGAATGACTTACTTTCATGACTCCTGCTATGCCCGGTTCCTTGCAGTTGCTGTGGTAAAAGAAAGCCAACTGCCCGACTTTCATCTGCCTCATAAAATTGCGCGCCTGCAGATCAGATGATAGATAATTTAGAGGAACATTCCCACAGAGAGAACCGAGGCTGGTGAGGAGAACATGACGAAAAGCCTTTTCAGAGTGGCATTGTGCTGGTGCCTTATCTGAGGCGTTTTCATTACAGTTTTGTGTTTCTACCTGATAATTGCGGACGCCATCCCAGCAGCCAGTCTGATTAGGCAAAGCCTTCAGATCCTCGATCCCGAACTGCAGAATGAACCAGATGCGTCAGACAAGAGCAGCCCACCCACATTCTCCAGTTTAACAACATACTGTGCTGAGAAGGCCGTCACTGCTGCGTACCTTCACGTCGATCCCGTTCTCAAAGCGGCTCTCGGGCTCAGACTTCATCAGCCAGTGGCAGTACTCTGGAGAACCAGCTGATACTGAGCTCTCCTTCGCCTTTCCCGTCTTCTTCCTTTTACCGACAGCTGTTTTACCATCATCGTCTTTGCCTGTGGAGACATTAATAGTCACTCATCAGAAGGTATACCATACCAGAGAATAGGTTTTACTTTATGAGTTCAATTGTTTTACCTGAATCAGCTGCTCTTTTACTGACTCTGGCCCTTGTCTTTGGTGGCATCTCTCACAGTCTGTAACGTTAAAACATTTTATCATCCACAATATGGTTGGTGATGGTGATATGACAATATCTATACCTTGAGATGAAATCAATTTGTCTCTCGAGATCTATTAAACTATTGAAAGCAATGGTGCAAATCAATGGTTGTCTTTATTGCAATATTATATTTTCATATGCTTTTTGCGAGACGTTACTATATGTTCATTTTATTAACAATTTCTGAAATGATTTAACCAAAAAACCCTTGCCATTAGGGTTTTTTAACTATCTGCATTTATAATCCCCTGATTATTCTTTCAGTTAATTGTCTTGTCTATAAGATTTTAGACAAAAGTGAAAAAAGGTCAAGTTCATGTGTCTTGTTTTGTTCGACAAACAGTCCAACCCACAAATATATTAAATTTACAACCACTGAAGATTAAGGAAACCAGAAAATATTCACTTTAAAGACAACTGCTTATCAAAATAGTTGCTGATTGATACTGATTTATTAATACTGATTCATTTTCTGTTGATTGACTTATTGCAGCTTGACACCAAAAAAAAAAAAAAGAGAAATACTATGAAAGCATTTTATATTTTCCTGGGAACAAAAATTAGATATCCAGTTATCAGCTGATCAGTTACATCAATCTAAAACTAATGCAGAATAACACAACAGCCCTGCAGTAAATCCTACCATCACATTATATTTATATATGTATATATATTATAGTGTTGATTCCATTTCACATGTTAAACTTCCTACCTAGGAAATAGGAATATAAACCCTTTTCCCAGTTGTACTCTCCTAGTTTGAGCCCTCAAAACTGAGAGGCACATGCTTCCTCTTCCTCATCATCATCATCTGACATGCATGACAGAGATTAGTTCAGACTGTGCACAAATCTGAGCAACACGTGGAAACTAAACGTGCCTTACAGTGTGAAAGTAGTCCCGATTATAAAGCAGAGCTCTGGTGAGTAGATGACCTCTGTTAAGTCCTGATAAATCCTACCTTTAGTCACACAGTGCTGCAGGTAGGTGGTGGTCCGCCTTCAAAGCCCGCGAGAAAAACCCCAAAACACGTGATGTCAACAAACGTATCGGTGCACTTGATTTATTTAGCAGCTCCTCCACTTCCAGCCAATGGTTCATGAGTGTAGCTACAGTCTCTCACCCACTGTGAGGGAGGCAGTGGTCCGTAGTAAGCTGCTCTTTAACGGACGTGTGGCGGTTAACCGGACGTACATTAACGGATACAACAACCAGGTCTTCATCCTTGAAGTCTTTTCTTTTGTAAAATCACAAAATCCTGTTTGAAAACACTTTAAATAAAGTATTAATCTCACCTTTGTGTCGTTTTTATTCAAGTAAGTTTTCTAGTGTTTTCTTTTCTTCGCCTCATTGTGTTGCGCCAAACTGTACTGAGCTCATTACTGCCCCCTGTGGTCAGCGGGCAGGAAACACCTACTGGTGTATGACGGTTTCTTTTATGTGCACACTTTAAATTAATCTATAAATATATGATCATTCATATTATTGGTAAATGTCGTATTTACTGTTGTAAATTGAGAAATAGTAAGCCTTTATTTATGTTTTTTTAAATTACTTTAAATTATTTTTAAAAACATTTTATTCCAGTAAAATAGTACAGAAGATTTATGGGGATATTTCATAGTTTATGGTGTTTTGTTTTTTAATTTCTTGCTCCTCGTTAATTTATTTTGTTTCCATAATTATTCTTATAAATCCCCCTATTTTTGTTTCATGTTGTATTTAAAGTTTGTATCCTCCACGAGTTCCTATATGTTTCATATTATTATTTAATAAGAAAAAACAAAAACAAAAAAAGGTGTAGTTGATGTTGTCCCTCTAATAGCCACAGGGGGCAACAATGAGCCCGACACTCGGCGACAGACAATAAACTACATTTCCCAGCAGCAGCCGCGGCCGTGTGACATAATTCAACACTGTGGAGGTAAACATGGCGCCTGTCGGACCTCTAGCGAGAATCTCCAGACTGGGCTCCGGCATCTGCAGGAACCATCGTTTAATCTTCAACAGGAGCCCACAGAGACGAGGAATAGCTTCATGTATCGACCGTAAGTCCCAGAAAACGAGAGCTCTTAGCGTTAATAATGACAGCTGTGTATTAATGAAAGAAAAGCTGAATGGCAGGAGGGTGGCCATAACTGAGGGTTGTTCGCTAACAGACCAATGTGGGTATGTATTTTTCATAAAAGAAGATTACCCACATACAGTTATTAAAGATAGCTAAGCTTTCCGCCATTGGTTAGTTTTGCTCCTCCTGGTCCTCCAGTCATAAGGCAGAGGGAGCTACACACCCCTCCTTAACACCGCCCCTCTTCTCAGGCAGGTTGTTTAATATGTCTGGGGGATGTAAACAAGCCTGAGTTGGATAATTTAATACTTGAATGATTTATTGTCTTGAGTTTAGAGTTTAGCCTCCTACTTAACATACAACCAAAGCGCTCAAAATGTCTGTCACCTACAGGATCACTCACTGCCAACACAGTTTACATCATACTACACCACATTTAGGTTGCATATGCTTTTCATCCTCATGTGCTTTATGTGCTCTGCTCTTTGTTGACAGCTGCTCATGGACTCTCAGATGAACAGAGGGAGTTTCAAAAAGTGGCCTTTGACTTTGCAGCCAATGAAATGGCCCCACACATGGCAGAGTGGGACGAGAAGGTATGTTGGAGCGAGGCATGTTTCTTTTAAGTTTACCGTCATCATCATTTATTTATATGTATATGTTCTCCCCCCGCCCCCAGGAAATGTTTCCCATAGAGACGATGCGAAAAGCAGCCCAGCTGGGGTTTGGTGGGATCTACGTTCAGCCGGATGTCGGAGGGTCGGGTCTTTCTCGGCTGGACACATCAGTTATCTTTGAGGCTCTGTCCACAGGATGTGTCAGCACCACAGCTTACATCAGCATCCACAAGTACGACCCCCCTCATATAGCCACACTGGCCTGTAACTGCAATTCAAATAGGATTTCTTCTGGTTGAGTTGTTTAGGTTAGAAATTCATGAAATGGCCCAGATAAGCAAATTTGCCACAGTTTTATGAGGCTGTTACGATACACAGAGTTACAGCTTCAGGAAGTTTAAAAATGTAATAGAAAAGAGTTGTGTTTTTGGTGGTTGTGAAACATAATTTTCTTCAAATAACCTAAAAAAAATCTGGTAGATTTTTTCCTACTTTGTCAGATATATTGTAAAGGAGAAGTAAAGATAATAAACATTACAATGTGACCATATCGGGCACCGTAACGATAGCTGGGACTCTTATTTTGCAGCATGTGTGCCTGGATGATTGACACCTTCGGCAACACTGAGCAGAGAGAGAAGTTCTGTCCTGATCTCTGTTCGATGGAAAAGTTTGCTTCCTATTGTCTCACTGAACCGGGTCAGTCTTTTCCTTCTATATGTATTGCAAATAAAGATAATTTAGTTGGTTATGTAAGTACCATCCATGCTGTTTCTCTAATACACATGTGTACCTCAGTTAAAGATGAACATAATAAACCTTTGATCTTTGATTTCAGGCAGTGGCAGTGATGCTGCTTCACTTCTGACCACGGCGCAGCTGAAAGGTGACCATTACATCTTAAATGGTTCGAAGGTAACTAAGCCTGTCTATGCCCACGATGTAACTGCGACCAGTTTCTGTTAAAAGGACAACAGTGAGGCGGAAACACACGTCTCGTCTCTTTCAGGCCTTCATCAGCGGAGGAGGAGACACCGACGTCTATGTTGTGATGTGCAGAACAGGAGGTAAAGGACCAAAAGGAATCTCATGTTTGGTGGTAGAGAAGGAAACCCCGGGCCTCAGTTTTGGCAAAAAAGAAAAGAAGGTAGAGTTCATTGGTGTTGTGGTGATTTTTTGAATTATGGTGAATTATGTTGCACTGTAGCTAGTGTTGGCAGAAAACCACTAGATGGCAGATTTGAGTCATCGTCCACTCGGCTGTTTCTCAATCTGTTCTCCAGGTGGGTTGGAACTCACAGCCGACCAGAGCGGTGATATTTGAGGATTGCGCTGTTCCAGTGACCAACCGGCTCGGTGAGGAGGGACAAGGATTCGGTATCGCCATGAAAGGCCTGAATGGAGGCAGGATTAATATTGGTGAGGAGGAAAATACTATCTAAGTGGTAACAACATGTATTATCCTACAGTTAACAATACTTAGATATGTAATGTATTCCCATAGTTAAAGAAAATGACTGGAATCACTCTTATTATGGAAATGATCAAATCAAATCATAGATTTTCTGTGATCTAACTAAACTAAATTATTCAATAAACCGGAGCGAGTCAGTCTCCTAAACAGGTGGAAATTAGATTGTTGGCAACAGATGTGAGCATATTGTTAAAAAAAGAAAAGAGTCTTGTGTTTTTGGAAGACTATGTAACTTTTCCAAGAGGATTCTTAAAATACAACCTAGCTCAAGTCAGTACACTCACTGCAAACTGCAGCTGCAGCCTTACTTGGCTGGACCAGTTGTTTATGGTGGCTAATGTTAGTCAACTTTAGATACATTGATGCGTTACTGACATTAGAGTGAGTATGTAATAAATATGTATAAGTGTACTTCTCTAGTTGTGCTTGCTGTTACTGTTTTAACATGGGCTGTTATTTAGTTACATACTAGCTTTAAGAGTAAAAACAGCTTCTCAATCAGCAGTTTTCATATAAACACTCTGCCAACAGCATCGTGTTCTCTTGGGGCGGCGCATGCCTGCGTACAGCTAGCGAGGGATCATCTGTTGGTACGCAAGCAGTTTGGAGAGACGCTCTCCAACAACCAGGTAAAGGAGCTGCATTTTCCAAGGATCCAGTGAACCAAGATCCAAATTGCTTAGCTACTGCTCCTGAGAAGCTATCTTGAATTTGTCCTTCTGTGTGTGTGTGTGTGTGTGTGTGTGTGTGTGTGTGTGTGTGTGTGTGTGTGTGTGTGTGTGTGTGTGTATAGTTTCTTCAGTTCAAACTGGCAGAAATGGCCACCAAGTTGGTTGCATCTCGTTTACTGGTGCGTGAGGCTGCGACGGCGCTGCAGGAGAGCCGGTCTGACGCAGTTTCTCTCTGCTCCATGGCCAAGCTCTTTGTTACAGATGAGTGTTTTAATGTGAGTGATACCGTGTGATAGTGGGACTGTTGTTTGCACTTGTTTCCCTTTTTTCTGCATTGTTAACTCTAACACTTTTCTACATTTGTTCCTGCTCAACAGATCTGCAACCAGGCTCTTCAGATGCACGGTGGGTACGGTTACCTCAAAGACTACGCAGTGCAGCAGTTTGTCCGGGACATCAGAGTACATCAGATCCTAGAAGGTGAGCTTTATATATAACTACACTGTCTATAACTTTGATCTTATCCTGTATGTCTTGCGTATCGCATTTGAAAGATTAATTTCCTGAAATTTAAGAGGGGCCTTCATGCTATGATTTTGTAACAATTACAGTTTGTGTGATTCTTTTATTTCCTCCCTTTTTTTCCCGTAAAGGCACAAATGAGGTGATGAGGATGATCATTTCCCGAAATCTGCTGACAGAGTCATGATGAATCTTTTTTCCCCTGGGTCTTCAAGTGACTGCAGTAGTGACCATGTTGTTATGGTCTTCCTCTCGGGTTTGTTACTGTGTGACTGGCGTCCTGAAATGCCCTCTGCATCGCAGGTTTTCTAACGCTGACAAAGGTCATTGGAGGATTTGGGGTAAACCAGTCAGTAAAATGTAGGTTTTTCTAGTTTGTTTCATTTTTATCTACACAGGTGGCAAGGCTCTAGGGAAGGCAATGTTGACTCATCAGTCTGCCGTCTGACACTGGTCTACAGCGAAATATCTTAGGAACAATTGCACAGATTTCCAAGAAAATGTGATACATTTGTTGTTAAAAGAGGATGAATCCAAATGAAAGCAGTGACCCCCTGGCACCAACTACACTTCTATATGTATTGACTGAATTCCAGGCTATACTTCGAGATGAATGCTAATATATGAAATAAAATAAATATGAAATGTTAAAATATACATTAGCCTTCAACAGATCTAATGTATAATTAAAGTAGACAAAGCACATTTTATTTAAGTACAGAATGCAACTCATAAACACTAACAAAGTTTGTCCGTCATATGAGCCATAGGTCAGCTGTGAGTCATATTAAAGACATTGTATGTAGGAACAAGAGTCTGCTGTCGTCATAGCAGCTCTGTGAGGCTATACTTAGGCACAGTGGTGCTTTGAGCCATAACACCGGCATGCTAACATGCTCACAGTGACAACGTTAACATACCGATGTTTAGCAGGTGTAACGTTAATCATGTCCAGCATCTTAGTAGCATGCCAACATTTGCTAATTAGCTCAAATAACAAAGGACACCTGAGGCTGATGGGAATGTCATTCGTTTAGTGGGTATTTGGAAAAAGTGAAATCTTGACCTGATGGCGCGTTATAACAATTCATCCTGGAGAGAGAGACATAGATGTGTGTAAAACTTCTCATGGAAATGAATCCAATAGTTTCCAATAGTAAAGATCAACCTAATGGTGACACCAGAGGACAATTAATAGAATCTCCAAGGTTAGTATGATTCATCCTCTGTGGACCACGAATGTCTTTACAAAATGTAGTTGTTGAGATATTTAAAGTGGTGGACCAACTGACCTATTGGTATTGCCAGTCCTAAAGCCATGCTGCTACCATAGCTAAAAACTTTTAATTTTGGTAACTTTTCATCCAAAAAGGTTGCTTCCTGCGAAGATGCCAGTGTGGATATACTGTAGTCTTGTTTTTCTATAAAACTGCTCTTAACCTTACCTCTTCTAACAGTTTCAATTTGTGAAAAGATGTCTGTCTCCCCCCCCCCATTCATTTAAAATGACTAAACACAAACCTCAGTGTTAATAAGAGTATGGTGGTTCTACTGTACATCACACATCTATATCACATGCAGTCTAACCATCTCTGCCCATTAAGTGGCCTTCAGATCATATTTTTCTTTTTACCCTCTTGTGTGTTCTGTAGTGTGTAAAATGGCCACAGATAAAAACATGCTGTGTGCTACATTTAAAAATATATGGGTGGTGTATTGTGGGTTGAAATGTCACTTTGCAAATTATGTTTGCTGATCACACTCCAAATAAAATAACCTCAGCTTTCATAAAAAGAATCAGCCTTTTTATTGTCACCTGACTGGGAACTATTATTTACAGTCATTTTATATGAATTGTGTTTTATAAGGGATTTTAAGTCAGTCATGCTAAAACCAAACACACCAGAACACTTTATTGAAAAAACTGTCAACAATCAAAACTGCATTGAAAGTGCTACAGGTAGCCTTTCTGCTTCAACACATCACTGCCAAATCATTTGCAGAGTTTAGTATACTTACAAGAAAACAAACAAGACCATCAGCAGTGCTCTCCTCAGTTAATGGCCCCGTAGGTTTGCAGTAGTTATATCAAGTTATACAAAGCACCTTTGAACAAAATAGTCAGAAATAATCAACTTCAACAATGTCGTACTCACTATTTTGGTTACATTCCATCTACCATTACAGGCAATATACTCACAAAGTATGTTCTCTCAGCAGACATCAGTGTCATGAAACCATACTGACATTGTAACAGGTCAAATAAACAACCCTCACATAAACACGCGTAAATGTGGGTCAAAGAAAAGCGAGACGTTTGAAAGGTTACGTGAATTAAATACCTGAATTGTGACTTTGCTGGGGTTTTTTTTTTGCTCTGAACTAGTGCAGATAGCCTGAGAGAAGTGATCCTTACACAGCCAGGTACAGTGACAGAAATTAAATTATAAAAATTTGTTTATTTTTACTTTGTTCATTTATTGTACAAATGTAGCCAAAATGTTATATACTTTTGCAAGACCTGCAAGGCTAACTTAGCTGTTTATTATAGTTAACAGTATCTAGACACACTGCATTAAAGGTCCAGTGTGTGACATTTAGGAGGATCTATTGGCAGAAATGTATATGAATATGAAAATACTATTCGTAGATATGTTTTTATTAGTGTATAATCACCTGAAAATCACCAAAAATGTCTGTGTTTTAATAACCTTAGAATTAGTTGTTTTTATCTACAGAGGGAGCAGATTATCTTCCATGTTTGTCACATTGAACCGTCATGTTTTCTACAGTAACCCAAGCGGACAAACTAAACACTGGCTTTTGGTGTTTTTCCTGGCCACTGTAGTTGCTCCTGCATGTTCGGAATGGGATGGTGAGGCGAGGGTGTTCCAATCGGCAACTTTACCTTTAGATGCCACTGAATCCTACACACTGGTCCCTTTAACTCTCTTGAAATAAATGGCATTATATGTATACTCTTAAAAGACTGTGATGATTTTTGGATGAGATTTTGAAGATCTGTTTATAAGCGTGTAAATAAAAATATATTCCTTTTTAGTGAAGCAGCATACAGAGAGAAACTTTATATGCTGAAGGGAGATTTTGTGCAAATGAAGCACAAACCACACCTGTGAGACATTTTCCCCTCTCACTACCTCCCGGGTCTCTTCATGGAGAACGTGCTTTTCCATTTCAAGGCATACTTTCTCTCCATCCACAACCACTGTCCCTTTTGTTCCGAGTCAGAGACGCTTCCGCCGGCTACACCAGCGAGCCGGCTTGGCTTTGAGCAGGCACCATGACAGCAACGGCTCCCATGCGCGTCAGAGTGGAGGAGCTCATTTGTGGGGACACAGTGAGTGGAGGTGGCACCTGAGGCTGAGCCCCCTCAGTCCTGTTGGGGATGGCGACCACAGGGCTCCTTAGAACCTGCGGAGGGCCCCCGTTCGTGCTGGGAGGTCGCTTGTGTTTGCGCGACGGGGTGCCTCCGATGTTGTAACCAGGAAGTCCCTGTAGGGGGTTGGCTTCTCCGGGTCGCAGCTGGTAGGCGTTGATCACTGAGCTGTCTGAAGCTGAGATAGGGGAGTACGGGTAGTGGAAGTTTGGCTGGTGGGGGGTCTCGGGGCGGGGGCTGGTGGCTATGGAGGATAGCGTGCCGTTCTTGGATACGATGTCTGAGCCGGTGTTGCTCTTTGCCCATGACACTCGCTTCGGTGCCTGAGCATCCTCCCTATGGCAGACAGAGAGGAAAGAGAAACTCAAAGTTAATGAAAATGAAGACGAAAAGGAAATAGGTGAAATCTTGACTTACTTAAATAAAGTGATAATACATCCTCTTTATGTGGAAGGCCATCGTTCTTTTATACGGAGGATCAAACAGGTCATGATGTGACTTTAAATTGACCTTTCACTTCATTGATTATGTTGAGAATAAGTTTTGACTGCTAATGTTATTCATAAGTCAACATTCTGACCTTTTTTGAGTGCTAATAACATATTTATATATTTGTATATTCTTTATTTGATTGTTGCTGGTTTTATTTTCATTTGATTCATTTCTGCTTGTGGGTCTTGTTTTAGATATATTTATTTGTCTTGATCCTTTTTTGTGACACATTTCCATACCCACATACAGTATTTGTGATATAAGGGTCCACTGTAATATCACCGGCTTGTTCTGTCTTTAAATACAAAAATAAACTTTATGTCATTGTCAACATGAAGAGTCGCAACTGTCTCATCTTATTGTGTTTATTAATACTATTATATATTATATTACTGTTTTGCCGAACTGGGAAAAATGAATGAATAAATAAAGGTGATAATACAAAACACACAGTATTTTGCACTCACAGTGAGACAGATTTTTAAATGACCCATACCGTCTGTTATAGTATTTATTACAGTAATATACAATAATGAGCTAAATATTAAGATTCTTAAAATAGTAATAGCAGATTGTAAAAATACTTACAAATAAAAGGTAACAATATTACACATCTACAGTATACTGTTATTATTAGAATATTATTACCAAAGTATTAGCATATAAGCACCATTTTAATGATTTAGCTGGTCATGGTGGAGCTACTTTTACAAACTTTCTAAACTATTGGTTCATTTAATCTATAACAACAGATTATATTTTATTAGATGATCATAATTTTTGTTACGTAAAGTCTGAATAATTAAAGTTTCTAGTAATTTATAGCTGTCAGACAAGAAAATATCTGTGACATTTACAATGTTTCTTCTGAAATGTATTGCAATGCAAGTATTAAGTACCACTGACTTCAGAAATAAGCATTTCAATGCATTATTCTTATCAAAACAGTAATATAATTATTAAATGCAGATAGATTGTTGCTTTTATTTGAATTAATAAATAAAAATGCAAGAAGAAAATGTGTGCGCTCATGCTCACCCTACTTATTTGTGAATTTATTAATAATTTGAGCCTACAAATATAAAGAAACATAAAAGTGCCTCAAAACTTAAGTTGAATAAATGTACTTTGTTTCTTTTCACCACTGCAAATAAATAATGTGTAACAGCTGTCACAGTCTGGCTGCAGATTATTAAATTAAAGCCAGTTTCAACACACTTTATTAGGTACACCTGTACAATCTACAATATCTACAATCCACACTGTGCTTCGTGCTGCACTGGTACGAGTGTACCTAATAAATTGTCCACTTAGTGTATAGTGAAACTCTCACTTGATCTCGTTGGCTATCTCCTCCTCGGTGTCCCGCCTCCTTTTCAGTATGAATATGAGGAAGAGCGCCATGGCCACCAGTCCCACTATCGACCCCAGTGTGGCTGCTGCAATCATGCCTGCATTGGAAGCTGTGAAACAGATCACAGATCAGTATTGACACCTAATGAGTGTCACAGCTGTGTTATTTATAAAACACACTGTTGAATAATGGCGTGTGTGCAGTGGAGTAAAAGCAGAGCCCTTTACTGCGTACGTACAGGTGATAACCTCCAGGTTAATGGAGCAGCTGTCGGAGCCGGCAGTGTTGCTGGCTCGGCAGATGTACTTCCCTGACATGCTTTTAGTGAGGTTGCTCAGCCTGAGGGTGCCGTGTCTCTCATCTACAAAACAACAGTTACACACACACATCATAATGATATATTTATGTGATCCTGGCATGTGGGCTCGGTACAACTAGCAAAACTATGCAGGTTGACATTAAACTTATACTACTATATAACACATTAGAGGAGTATATTGTCAAAGTTACAAACACAACTTTACTGTCATAATACAACGTAATGCAAGAATGAACTGTATGGAAATCTCTCATGGATTGTGTATCTTAGACATTTTTTGGGCTGCATATTTCTGCATGTTGGTGTTTGTTAGGGGTGGGAAATAATCGATTCTTCGATGCATCACGATTCTCTCTAGAACGATTCCGTCTCAATGCAGATAAGTTAATAATCGGAATTTTAAAAATTTAATTAGTTTGCGTGCTGCAACATTCTGTTCGCCCGCTGCAGAGTGCTACAGAAAACTCTCCTTTCTGCCTGCCGGTTCTCCGCCAACACGCATGCGCACCAAACACGTGCGAGTTGTTTACGTCCAAAGTTTAGTGGCAACAAAACGGCTGCGAGCGACAAACCTATACGGCCTGCACCAGCTTCTTTAAAAGCTGCGATATGGCAGCATTTTGGGTTCTATGAGGTCGATGGGAAGATGGACAAGACCTACACTGTGTGTAAGGTGTGTAGAAGTCAAATTAAATACTTCGGAAATACAACCATCTGCGAAACCACATTTCTCGACACCACTCAGAGTTGGGAGAAAAGCGACCCGTTCCTGATGGCAGCCAGTTTATTACAATTACAATTGAGGGGGCAAATTCTTATAATTGACTAAGACTCATTTTTCTTTAATGACATAGAAAAGAAAGATTAGAAAGAAAAGAAAAATGAATCTTTTTTTTTTTACATACTTCCATATTGTGTTAAAATGCAAGCTGCATTGTTCATAGAAAGTCATATTTGTGACAAGAAAAGCTTTTTCTCTAATAAAATATAGAGAAGGTCATTCATCTGTTGATTGTCTTTAATGAAAATCACAAAAGTAGTAGGAAGTGATTAGCAAACTCTGAGTAGCAAACTCAGATGTAGATATATATATTTTAAAATCACGCATGAAAATGTACATTAAAAAACTGTTGCATCGAGATGCATCGATAATCGGTTTACAATCGAATCGTTGACCTCTGAATCGGAATCGAATCGAATCGTGGGGTGCCAAAAAATCCCCACCCCTAGTGTTTGTTAAAAAAGCTTGCACTGATTCCTAATTTTGTTATTTTTGGGGTATATTCTTCTCTTAATGTAAATGATATCACCATACCATTACTGTGTGCAAAACATCCTGGTAGCGTTGAATCATTAATTACTGGTTCTCAGCCTTAATCCAGAATTGAATCCACTATTAGCCAATATCTAATACCTACTGTGTATAGTTTGGCATTTGTGCAATCCCACAGATCTACGGATGATTCTGCTACGTAATATGTTTGTCAGCAATTTTTGTTTTAATACTTTCTCACTCCAAGGTCATGACACAGCAGTAAGTGTGTGTGTGTGTGTGTGTGTCTGTGCTTTCACAACTTGTTATTTCCATTCAACACAATCTGTTCCTCTTGACACATCTGGTTTTAAAATGCTGTGTTGTTGTAAACATAGGCTGTAGAAAAATAAACAAGCTTCATGAGGGACTTATCACAACAAATCCTCTGAAATCCAATCTTAGACTTCACATTGCAGCATGTCTACTCTTCATCTGATGTGTTTTTGCTTTCGTGGGGATCGCAAAGGAAATGAGAGTGAGTGCGCGTCTGTTTTGTGGAATCGCCCTCTTAAAGTGTTGGATCGGGTGGGTGTATTGTAAATCTTTGCGCACACGTCGCACTCTGCACCCAGTCTATCCTCACAAAGAGAAAAGTGATGCAACCCGGGGTGGACGCATCCAAATCATCCCAGATGAAAAGTCAAGGTTTGCATTATAGCAGCATGCAGCAAATTAATGCAAGAGACCAGAAAATTCTTAACAATCATTGTGTCCACACCAGCTGCCTTCCTATCAAAGTTTGGGTGGACTGAGTTTTGAGTTTTGGCCACCACCATCTGCTACTGAACCACCACCAGGGAGGAGGTTAATGTAGGCAGATTTACAGATACTAACTTTTAGTTATTTTGATTTTAGTTACTAAAACAAGTGTAACTGGATGAAAAGGTCTGTTGTAATGTGTTTGTTGGTCTGCTGGTTTTTCATCCAATGTGAGTACATGTGATCACCCAATGAAAAACATCCATATGCACTAAAATTATTGAAATTGAAAGTAAGCATAGCTGCTTAACAGCTTTATTGTTAAGCTATCAAACAGAGTATTAAAATCATGTTTCAGAAATCAAAACAAAACGGGTGCCAAATAAAACAGTAGAAGTAAATGTAATATCCACCTGTCCCTCTCCTAATATTTAATCCCCGGGCTAGAAAACCAGCTGGGAAGAACCGAACCCAATTGTGACAGATTAGCAGAACATCAGCTGACTCTGACCTTGGAGCGAGTTCAAGCCCGTACAGTGATCAGATCCCAGCGGCGGCAGAGCTGGAGGGGATCTGACGTTACAGTTTAGGAGCTGCCTCATATCAGGACAGAAGCATTACTCATATTACCCTGTCATCACTGCAAGGTCAATAAGCAGCATTTGTCAAAGCCCTGACACATGAAACGTGATTAGTGTAAATCAGCAGCATTTCTATATGACGCTCACGGTATATAGTTTGCCTACTCACATGACATCGCCCAAGCTACAGTGGATTAGTTATCATAATTAATGTAAAAGCGCACACATTCACGTGTCAAGACACCTTTAAAACCAGATAGGAATCAGAAAACGATGCAGTACCAATTATTGTAATTTACTCCCTGCCATTAATTTCCTCTTGCATGACTAGTGGGTGCAGCGATTAAAAAAATACATTTCTACTAAAATCTACTGGCACTAAAACTTAGGACTGTACAGGACACATCTGTCTATTCACTCACTGTTCTATTTATTCATTCATTGCCCTTAATTTACATGTGATATATTGTATACTGTGGCTAAGGAGTAGGGCTGCAAGTAATGAAAATATGCTACAAAACAAACAAATTCAGTTTATATTATATAAAACAGCAAAGCAGCAAATCTTCAAACTTTAGAGGCTGGAACTAATTATTGTTTGATATTCTTATTATGAGGATTTTTAATTTTATTGGCTAATTCACAGGGCTGCACGATATGGTGAATTCCAATTTGTAATTATGTGGGAATTTTCATAACAAAACAAAACAAAGAACAATTACATTTTTGGGTATCTGTAAAAACAAACATGTTTTCTTAAATCTGGAGAACAAGATTTGTAGACCAGAGCCCCTCTGCAGCACTACAGTACTTCATTATGGTGCTGTTCTACCAAAAGTTGTACCTTTAACGAATAATTACAGCTCGAATATATAACAACTAAAGCGATTTGCATGTTGCACTTGGCCATATTGCGATTCCTATAATATTTTGATTAACTGTGCAGCCCTAGTTATTTGCGTTGTTGCCGAGAGTTAGATGAGAAGATCAATAGCCTGCATTTCTTTAAAGCTAGTAGCCTACACAAAGACAAGAAGCACAGAGACACAGTTTCATCTCGGCCTGTGAATTACACTAGCTGCAAACACCTGGCCGGGGGAGGAAGAGTGGTTATCTCCAAGGTCAGAGGCACCCAGATCTGACCGTTGCTCTCGTTTTATAAGTAATATTTAGTTGTTAGGGAGAGCAGGGTGGAATAATTAATTTTCTTTTAGGGCGCTGTCTCTCGGATTTGGTTGGGTCGTGTGCCAAGAGGCTGGGACCAGCCGGTGCACCAACAATGAAGCACCAAGTCTAAACCCCGGTTGCTTCCATCGTATAGTCAACCAATCACATCGCTTAATGTAAAACAGATATAACCTCTTGTAACCTTTGATCACTACTCTTTTTGGGGCGAGAAAAGAGTAACAGCACTCCGCTGACTGTGGCTTCTCAATCCAACAAGATCCTTGTACAAGTATTATTTTAATTATACAATTCTTAATAAACTTCTTAACTGAGAGAAGTTGTTTGTCTTATGTCCTAAAGATCATTTTGATACACGACAGTGGTATCTAGCCCAGCTAACTCTCAACAGGAAATCAGCATATTTTACAAAATACTACAAAACTATTCTTTTGAATACTACTACTAATAATAATATCAATAACAACAATAATAATAGTGTATTATCATCATGGACTCAAACAAATATCAATGTTGTCCTTTGGTTCAAAGAGATGGTCAGAACAATCTAAGTGCACACTGTCTAGCTGCTTATTGAGTCTAAATATAGCACACAATGAAAAGATTAATGAATGAAATGGGATGACAGCTAAATCTAACACAACACACATACTAGAAAGATTTAAAGATCAAATTCAACCCTTCTTTTAAAAAAAATGGAAATATATGCAAAATCCTCATTATATATTCAGGGAATATCACAGTTTAAAACAGCTGTTCATTATTCCACATGATTATAGTGGAGATAAACTACCACCTGTTATTCCTCAAGAGCTTAACAGCCACATTTTTTCATTTTTTAATTATTTAACCAATGAATGTGCAAGGATAATGTACATTTTTAAGGTTGAGTGGGATTATCATCAGGCTTGACACTTAAGCTGAGCTTTTTCTTCTTTTCTTTTTTTGATGTTAATCATTACTGAAACCTAATCCTATAAGCATTCTTACAAATTGGGTTGATTTTTTTCCTTTAAAGCTTTTCTACAGCTCATGTCTGTGATTCCAGGAGTGACATGTCGACTCTAGAAACCGTGACTCCTCGGGATGTCACGGTTTGCAGGTAAAGGTGGGATGGAGTTGGAGGGGAAGTAAGTGGAAAATGTATGAGTGAAAACCCTTACCCATGTACCCAAGGACAAGCATGGGCTGGGGGCAAGTTCTCCATTCTGTTTTTTTTTTTGTTTTTTGCAGAGGGAAAGATGGCAGAGAGAAAGTGAGCATGAATGAAGGGATGCAGATTGATGGGGAGGGGTGAAAGAGTGAGATGCGCTGCACTCTCAAACCAAATCCAACTTATGCCTCTTAGAGGGGTTGATCAAGTAATGACATGGGGCTTGTTAGATTAGGCACCAAGGTCAACAGGAAATGAGGAGTGCCGAGAGAGGATCAGCAGAGAGAGAAAACAGAGAGAGAGAGATTGCTGAAAGAGATAAGCAGTGATAGCAGACAAAAGTTCAAGTGTCATAGGGAGAGAGCATACATCAATGCAGATAAAAAGATGAGTTTGAACTCGAGTGTCAGTGGCATGTAACAGGGTGCAGACACACATGTGGTCTAGGCGTGAGTGTGCATACTGCACCACAAAACCCTGGGTCAAAGCACAATCAGAGGGAGTTGTTTTTATTTCATGAGTCTGAGGACTTTTCTGCTATAAAAAAATGAGGGCCAAAGATCAAAGCAGTTAAGTCAATACTAAATCAATCATGCTAAGTCCTGTTGTTCAGAAACAGATGGTGTTTTCTCTGCAGCATCAGCTGGAACAAACATCTACAAAGTAATGTAACAACAGAAGTATATGCACAGCATGTGCAAATACATCTTTTTTCTCTCTTGCATGGGCTGCTGTGAAGAGGAGTGTGGTGCGGTTTGACTTGTCCCAATCTGTAAAGAGGATTTCACACTGCATGTTGTGGCATAACCGAGGATCTTCCTCATGAGGTGCATCTGGAACATCTATCAGCAAAGCCCCATAGGCTGTGTCTGATCATGTGTGTGACCTGACGACATGAGCCCCTTTTATACCGGCTGTTCAAGTCGGGAATGTTACGCCGTTATTCCGCCTCGCCGTTCTGTATAAAACGTACAAACACAGAATGGGAGGGGGGGCATAGTTGATAAATTATTTGTTTTAAAACTGAAAAGCATGCAGAGGAGGTGAGAGCCTCTTTTACAGTTGAGTAGTTTGTGCAGTCTTCCTCTCGGGCTGCATAAAACCCTCCCTAAAACCTCCACCAGTAACATAAGGGAACCTGTATGTAGCCTGATAGGCAAAACTCAGGTAAAAAGAACTTGGCCACATTCCCTACAGCTCAATTGGTGTGAGTGTGTGTTAATGAGGCGACTTTGATTAGCCTATTAACACACTGTCAGCTGTTTTTGCAGGACTATTTCTACAATAGAAAATATCAAGAAAAGATACTGAATGTGTGTGTTTTTAATGCTGCACGCAACAAAAACCTCAAAGCAAGATGGTCAAAAACCTGGGCAAATAAAAACTTTCTCTGTGGATAGATACTACTCGAGGTACATAGAGCGTGTAAGAAAATATGTTATTTGGGTGAACTGACCATTTCAGTATAAGAGTTACATCCTGGTTAAAATACTCACTCTGCATTGGGGAGAAGAAGACCTCAGACATGGGTGCAGCCTTGGTCCACTTGTACTGAGGGACGGGTTTTCCATGACTGGACTTACAGCTCAGAGTCACATTGCCCTTCACCACTGGGTTCCCTGTCATGGTGCATACTGGTGGAGAGGGAGGGACTGCAGAGACAGACAGACAGAGATTAGAAGTTAACACATGTAACATCAGAACGTAGGATGAGTGACCTTTTAGTGAACTTGTACGTTAGGCTTTAATCCACTGCAGACGACGTGGAGATTTCTCAGACCAGTAGCCATATTGGATACAAATAAGGAAAATGTTTTGACCACCCTCCCCTCGCCTCCCTGTTTCCATCTGCTGCTGGAGGACATGACATAATGACCTCAGAGCCCAGCGAATCCCTAAACAGCAGATGAGTTTTATTTGTGCTTAGTGCTTGCTCACATAAATATGATTTTCAACAGACTGCTTGGGTCTGAATCCTATAAAACATGTTGAGCACTGCCTGGATTTTTCAAATCCAAGAAAACGTGTGAGCTGTGTCGCAGCGTCCTGATTACATCTAACCTTTGAAGTTTCTCTGATGCTGTGGTCCATTACCTTTGACATTAAGGTGCATCTCTCCGGTTATGCCACCTCCAGGGATGACGACAATGCAGACATAGCGTCCAGAGTCGGACTCCTGGGTGTTGTTGATGTAGATGGAGAGGTTTGCTGAGGGCATGGTCACGCTGAAGCCCACTCTTTTGGAAAAGTCGTTCTGGCCGTGCCCGACCTCACCTGAGCTGAAGTTTATCACCTGAACATGAAAGCGATGGACTTAACAGAGCAGCAGCATAGTATCATAACACTGTTAATTAGTAATACACATAATTAGAGTCCCTTTTTAAATATAAATATAACACATTTTGAAAATAAGGTACGACGGAGACTTTTCTCTCTGGTCATTTAAGGGGAATATTTTTTTTTTTTAATTTGCTGGAGCCATTTCAAGATGCACAGATTAACTATATAACAGAAATCAACGTCCTTCATAAAGATAATCCTGACATGTACAGATGGTGGATGCTGAATTTTAGGCTGATTTTCTGTTTGAGATAAGCTCGCAGGCATCAGACACTGAAACTATTTAGATTATATTAATCATGCAAATACCCAACACACTCTGCACACACACACACACACACACACACACACACACACACACACACACACACACACATATATAGTAATGTACAGTTTCAGCAGCGGTTCGTGCTACATATAGGAGGTGCACTAAAATGTAGAGATGACATGTCATTAGTGGCATCCATTTGTTAATAACATCCGTCCCTTCCTTGCTTTTGCTACGAGTCAGATATCGGCAGTGGTGTTGGAAATAATCCTAATCTCTACAGATCATCTTTTTCACCTTTACATACCACTAGATTGGTTTCTCAGGATATAACAGTGTCATGCAATACTAAAAATGCTCACGTAATCTTGCACAGATTCAAAGGTGAGGAAGGCCTTGCATGTAAACAGACGTCTTAAATAATTATACTTACCTTAGTTAGGTTTTCCGTATTTTGTGGGGGTTTATTCTCTCAATTAATACATCTATAAAATGGAAAAAGTCTTCTTTTGTCTGACCAACAATTTAAACTCAAAGATATTTCAAATGAAAATGATAAAGAAAAGCAGCAAGGCTTCACATTGGAGAATTTTCAAAGTAGTTATTCATTCATTGTTTAAGCTTTTGGTTTGTAGATATAACCCTTTCATTTGTAGGAGGATCAGTAAACACATTGTACTTAAATGTAATCCTTTGAGACTTTTACTGTATTCCACTAGAGGTCAGAGCAGGGTTAACTACAGTAGATCATCTCAGGTTTAAGTTTTGACCTTCTCACCTGCTTAGACTCATTTCCAACGAATTGCCAAATGACAGAGTTTTTGGAAATGTCTGAGTTGGGGCTGTACCAGGCTTGTAACACCACCATCTGGCCCTTCACTACCTCCATCTCTCCTCTGGGGATCTCCACCTTTTGGGTGTCACCTAGAACAACAACACAGACCAGTAGAGAAAAGGTTAATCACAACTGTAATGTAGCAGAGGCACAGCGTTTTTTTTATTGTTAACGTGATTTGGCACAAGCTGGAGATAAGTTATTTTAGTGCCATGTTTCAATTTTATGCATAAAAATGCTTGTTTGTGTTATAAGATATTTATAGTTAGTTGCTGTTAAAGCAGCAACAAGGAACTTTCATTTGTCATTTTAAAAAAGGCGGTAGTGTTTTCACCGTTGTTTGATTTTAACGATGTTGATTTTAAGGGGAATTCAACCAAATGAACCGGTGGCATTAAAGTTACAAAGTGTAACATTTAGGAGGATCTGCTGGCAGAAGTAAGTGTATAATCATTTCAAATTAATAATTAGTTATTATTATAAAACACAACCATTCTAAATAAATAATTAGAATGGTTGTGTTTTATCTAAAAGGGGGAGCGGGTCTTCTTCTACGGAGGCTGCCATGTTTCTACAGTAGCCCAGAATGGACAAACCAAACACTGGCTCTAGAAAGGGCCTTTCACATAGTTTTCCTGGCTGAGGCTGATCTATTTAAATGGTTGCAATCTGTGACTTCACAGCTAGATGCCACTAAATCCTACACACTGAAACAGTTTTATTTGAGATCCTTTCTCTTTGCACGCCCCGGTCCCATGTTCTCGATTAATCATTTTGTCCAAAAAATGGAATAAAATAGTGAAAAATGTAACGTCTTCAAACAACGTTTTGTCAGACTTACAGTCAGAAACCCAAAGATATTCACTTTAAAATAGTAAAAAAAAACAACAGAGAAATGCACCAAAAAGGGGTAATTTTGCTTGAAAAATAACGATTATTTGATTATGAAGATAGTTGCTGATTAATTTTGATTGTGATGATTAATTTTCTGTAATCAATTATTCGACTATTACTTCAGCTCTGTTTTTGGACAATTGTGTATGTTTTCTTTAGAACGAATCAGATACTGGTAAACATATAAGCTATACGTGTCTTTGTTGTTGGAATTTGTCGATGTAAAACACAGAAGACAGATGAAACATAAAAAGATCGAACAGTAACAGTAAAAATGCTGAAAATTGTGAGTGAAACAACAATAACATAACGTAACATTTCCAGTGGATTCTGTCATCAATTTGGATTTCATAAATGTAACATCAGCTGATTGGATCTGTTATGCTCCTTGATAATCAACGTCAGGACCAGTCAGTCCCAAACATGCTTTGACTTCCTCTTGACGTGTTTGCTTGTGCTTCAGTGACAGTAAAGCTGAATAAAGTTTTTTTTTTAATCAGTCAGATGAATGATCATATTATAAAGTACATAGCTGACTACTCAGCCCTGTTTCTTTGTATCCGTACATGTTACAGATAATCTATTGGGGTTTTAAATTGGTTTATTTTGCTGCAGAAATAGAAAAATCTTCTTAAACAATTAGGGAGCATGCAATCGTGCTGTTTATCTGAAAAATTAAAATGGGAATCACATGATTTTCAGTGGACAGTAATCACGTGCCAGTCTCATTAGCTTCCACATTCAGTACCATGCCTGATAATTCTCTTATCATGTAATGAAATTTCACTAATATTTACACACGTTCTGATAGATGAAGCGAGAAAAAAAAAGAAAAGGGCTATATTTTCTCATATTTTGAGGGACAGCCATGTAAAAGTGCATTTTGCAAGTTTTACAGAATTACATTGCAAGATCACTATACTGGTCTGAATGTAACATTCAGTTTACAAAACACCTACATTTCCAGAGTAAAAGTCAACACACAAGGCAAGCATATATCATTTGAAAAAGAAACAAAAAACAAAAGCTAATCTTGAAGATAAAAAGATTAAAGATTAAAGATTTTTGGTAAATCAAAAAAAAAATATTCAAAAAATTTGGTGCATGAATTATGAGAAAAAAAACCTTAATCATGTGGAGATTAAGGCCTTTTTTGGCCTTATAGTACATAAAGATGCTCACAAATGTCAAGAAAGTACAAAGCGACTGCCAAGAAAAAGCTTAATATTGATTTCACACAGGAGACATGAGTAAAAAAGGAAGGATGAAATAGAGGAAGACAAGATATTAAAGATAACAAAGAAGAATGTCCAACTCACAGGGTGCCCAGTCACCTGAACCGGACAGCTGAACCTGGATCAACTGATCCCAGCAGTCGGTGTCCACTTGTGTCTCCAGCTTGAAGATTGGTTTTAAAAAACTCACGCAAAGAAAAATGTATTCTCGCCACTAAATCCTTTCACTGAAGCTGTGAAAAGTGTCCCTGATACACTCGAATGGACAGACAGGCCGGACAGGGTGTTACAGTTATGATCCATAGACAGGCAGCTGAAATCTCCACATCTGTTCAACCAGGCACGCCTTCCTTCTTTTCCAGACTGAATGCGTTTAGAGCCAGGAGAATTAGGTGATTGGTGGTGGTGGTGGTGGTGGTGGTGGTGGGTTGGGTGGGGAAGAGGGGTGGGGGTTAGAGATTTTAAGTGTGAAATGGCAGAAAGCACGAGAGAGAAAGAGAGACACAGAACTTGTTTTTGACTTGTGACTCTGTGACTTTCTTATTCCTCCCGGGACAATGTGACCCCGCAGCTGCGCTGCTGCTGTCCCTTAATTTCTGAATCTCTGAATCTGGTAAGTCCTGCTGACTAATCCCTAAAGAATCCCAGGCTCAATCCTCTCACCTCACGTGAGCGCTCAGCTGGACATGGATACGATGTGACACATGGTCACTTCACCCAGCAACGCTGCTGTCACTGTCATCATCATCATCACCGCTGCAACAGCATTTGCATTCACTAAATTACGATTAGCAGATCGCTTCATGTCATGCAAGCCTGTTTGTGGATTCCACATGGTATGAGTTTAAAATGAGGCATCCAGCACACGGACAAAAAATGCATGTACGCATGCGTGTGCAAGTACGGTCAAATTAGTCTTCCCTCCAGCAATACTATAGGCACTATAGGGATCATAAACAGTATAGATACAAACAGAGTGATGCTGCTTTCTGTGGTCTAGTTGTGTAATATGTTACACAACAAGGTGATGGCACAGTTAGAAACACAGTACATCAGTGTCACTATTGGCCGAATGTGCAACTCCTGCACCTGCAAGGAAATTGAGCTGAAAAAGGAAACACATTCCTGAACTTGTCAGTTGTTGGTCTTCAATTAAAGTGAAAAAGAGACCGAGTGAATTTTTGCTGAGTTGGCTAATGTGACTGTATCTTTATGAACCTTTCTATGGAAGCCCTGAAAAAAGACAGTTTTGCCAGGTGATTTTTGCTTATGTGTTCACTGTTGTAATCATCATTTCAGCCACAAGAGGCTGAAGAGGCAGTTGCACTACTACCCAGTGATCTACTCACGCAGGTGAGTTTTAATTTCTGCATGCACTCTGAACACAAGGTATATATTGTATGTTAGCCTGTAACATTACTGTTTTGTCTCTATTTTGGCTAGAAATGTGTTTTAATTGGTAGAATAATAAAGAGAATTCAATGGACAATTCAGCAAACGATGCATGAGTTTGGGGGCCTCCTGGCTGTGGGGCCCTAAGCAGCCACTTAACTATCCACTATCAACCTACAGGTGATGCATCTACCCACAGCAAAGTCCATGCTTTCATCAGCACACAAAAAAATATGAGACCCTGTCATGTGTACTATGAGACATGAATGCAAAAAGCTTCCCCCATCTAATCACAAAGCATGTCTTCATATCCATCTATCCATGCATGAGATTAATTTCTTTATCATCTTCATCGCCGTCATATCAGCTTGTTTTTGATTCATAATGTACAGCTGCCCAGAGTGCAGAGGAATTGTCTTTTTTTTTCCAGATTTGAAGCATAGTTTTCCCTTCCAAATCCTGTTGGTGCTCTGATTTCATTTCCACCAGCTATTGTCTTTGCCGTCGCGCCAACCAATAAACCGATGTGCTGTAACAATTATGTAACAGCGCTGAGTAAAAAGGTCTCGTTTGGGATGAGGCTGTGATTGTGTCTACAGGGATGGATGCTGGAAATCTCTCTCCTTAGATAACGCAATGACGTGCTGTACAGCGTTGTATGTTTATTAATATATATTGTACACCAGAGACACAATCAGAACGGATCAGGTTTTCTGTAGGTTGATGACGCTGTTTCGTCATGTGAATGCAAAGCGATGGATGCGCACAACCAATTCTGAATGATAACAGATATTCCTTGATGAAGTAGGATAAAGCCCTGTAGTCCCCTCACTCCTGACTATTCTTGTGCTTCTTTGAGCAGGTTTATCCTCAGAACTGTGTCATTCAATTGTTTATTAAATGAAGGAAAATCTTCACTAATCCGTGGCTGTCTCCATCTGGGATGCGTGTTTGGCTGCAGACACAGACAGATAAAGACAGTTCAAGATGTGGATATGGGTATGAAGTCAACCTAAATCCTTCACAATGGGAGGAAAAAAAAAATCAAGAAAAGCTGCCAATAAAGAGGATACAGATATGATACTATGAAGCCTCAGTAAACTCTGTCCTAATTACATTTTGCCGTAGGCTATCGTTCAGCCTAGCCACGCTTTATATCTGCTAATTGGATTCTTCTCTTTAGAATAAACAATGTTTTTTGTTTCCCTGCAGGGCATCCCGGCTATTATATATTGGTGGAGTCTCAGCTGCAACAGCAATTAAGACGGTGGGAAACGCCGGACTCGCAAACCTGCACAGAACAATCAAAGAAAAGTCAACCCTGTCATGCCTGTCTGAGCTGGGGCACAATTAAGAGATCAGAAGTGAGTTTGTTGTAGTACCGTGAGACGTCCACAGGGGGCAGCACATTCATATGCTAAATGAGATCATCTGATCATCGATAAAACCACAGTGGAAAATCATCATATCACCAAAATCTCTGAATACAAGACTCAGTGAATGTATGTGTAAACTGAAGCAATGCAAATAAATTAGAGTTAAACCAGGCAGGCTAAAAATAAACAAAC